ATCAAGTGCCTGCCCAGAAAAATTGTCTTCACTGTTTACTCTGCACCATTCCTAAAGTAATAACACTTGTCTGTCCTGGTTAATGTTTTCTAGAGGACGTTTTGCTTTCATAATGCTATTCAACTGTATAAATAAGGGAGGGAGCTGCAGAGTAGTCCTAGTGAAGAAAGCAGGATCCTAGGGAGCTGCTGTAAGTAGTGATTTTTTTGCTTCCTATAGAGACTTTAAAAGTGTCTCCTCTTGTTGAAGGCAATCAATTTTAAATCTATTCTAGGGTTGTATCTTATACTGACATCTGTCCTATATAATGAGGTTTTTATCGTGCGCCTGGATATAAAGGACATAGGCATCACAACTGAGGGAATGAGTTGCCCACACATTGTCAGGTCACTGGAGGAAGGATTGAGAATCTAAAAGCAGAGCAAAGTGTCTTGTCAGAAAGCAAGCAATTCCTGGAGCCAAGGAATCCTAAAAGGGGGACTTTCCTTGATGTACCTCCTGCTAGAAATAGGCCCTGATTCATTAAAAGTCTGAAGATGGGTGCTTAGAACTTTTTTTAATATATTGATGCTTATTTTTAAGTAATTCTGGTGATTTTTATACTGAAGGTCTACAAGAAATACCATTGCTTAGGGAATGGTGCATCTATTGTCTACTTCTGTTTTAGATGAGACATCATTGAGGTAATCATCAGGCCCATTGAGAGGGAAGTGGAGAAACTGGTGATTTTTCACATGTTCAGAAGATCACAGGGAGGTCAACATTTTTAATGAGCCAGAAACCAGTCTGTGGTTAGGTGTACACTGGAATGTAGAAACTGAGAACCTGGTCTGATCTGTTCTTGCAGAGAGAAGAAAATCCCCTCTATCCTAACCACTGCACTTTTTTGTCTACTTTTTTATTCTCTTGGAGTCAGTGATGCTTCATGACTCTGGTTCAACAGCAAACACTCATGGTGGCCTGGTAGAAGAGTGAGAGCTTATGTTCACCTGTTTCCAGGTAAAAGGAGTCTTGGAGGTGAGTGATGCCACTTTCTGGGTGAGTTCTCCAATGCTAAGCTGGCTCACAGAAGATAGAAAAAACACAAAACAGCCCAGGGAATGAACAGTCACATGCATTTCTAAAGGATAATGTAAACTAGGCAACTAGGTTTCCACATTTCTGCTGCAAAAGGAATTACTTTTAATGAAATATTCACAGTGGTTGGATTCTTTGAACAGTGCAATAGCCTTGGCTTGTGTTTGCAATCTCCTCAGGGGCTCAGGCATAGAGGTATCAAAACTCTCAATGACAAGAGAAGTGATTGTCTAGATGATCATTTGGAACAGGCCCTGAACCTGTTCAGGTGCATATGATTAAATAAGCAGAGCTTTCTGGCCAGCCAGGAAGGCACAGGTGAGTTTGTGGTGCTCCTTTGAATAGGTGGCCCTGGACCTATAAAGCCTGGACCTATGAAGCTTCATCACCTCAGAAGCCTGGCTAGGCTTCTGAGGTCATGGTCTCAGACCCAGGTATGGCTAGTCAAGTCTTTCTTTTGTGATTTTTGTGTGCTTGGGTGATTCTTTTTACAAGTCTCTAAATAGCTGATATTGAGTTCAGCAGACACCACTGGTGGTTGTGGTGCTGTAACTTGATGTGCCTGGTGCCCCCACAGTGCTTTCAGGAAACAAATTTCTCAGATTTCCTTCTTCAGAAACAATCAGGAGGGAAGCAGCACCATCTGGTGAGCAAACAGCTTTTCTAGTTATGCCTTCATATGTTTTTGAGTAGTGCAAATTTTCATGTTGCCTAAAATGAGATTATCAGTGAGGACCTCCTATGGGAGTAGTATGGGATGAATATTCATTTCCTGGAATATTACATGGGACTCTAAAGGCAGAAGGTTGTCTCCAGAATCTCTTCAATCATAGAGAAAGAAATCAGCCCTAAAATGGACAAAATACCTATATCCATAAAGAAGCAAGTTCTGTCAGTCAGAAAACTGAGTCCAGCCCACTCCCAGGTTTTCTGGTGGAATTATTCTAAGGCAACTTTAGCTATTCCCAGTGTTCTCCGTTTTCTTTCTGAGTTGCAAAGTAGGGCATATTGTGCTAGGGAAGAGGTAATATATTCAGCAAATGTTATCACCAAGTCTATTACAGATAAATTGCTGCAAACACTTTCTTCCAAGTGCTAGCATGCTCTTGTATCATTGTCTGGTTTGATTGAAAGCTCTTCTTTGAAGACACCTATTCTTGAACACCACAAATAAACTGTCCTTGTGTAACACACACAAAGAAAAGAGGCAGAGGTTAATGCGTTTCCTTCCAGGCTATTCAACAAGTCAGACTAGATTTGGAACTAGAATTGAAGTGCTTTTCACTCCTACTGCCATGTTGATGGATAAACTGTTTTGTGGTTTGTTTTTTTTTTTTTTTGGAAATTATAGAAGTAAAGGTCTTAAAGAGCTTTCTGCAAACTTAACTCCTCCTGTCTGGAAATTTCCTAAAGGCTTTACCGCACAGGTTCTCAGCCCTTTGCTTTTTAATAAATCATTAGCAACTATGCTCCACAGGAAAATCCATCAGTCTTTAAGACCATATGAGAATCTGCATCTTCAGTTTCCTCCTGAAATGGTGTCTGTTGTCAATTTGTCAGTGGTTGATCACTTGCTAACCCAGAAGCCACAATAACATGCAATGAAATAGTAAGTATCAAATATGAAATAACAATCCACAATCATATTCTGAAGGTTGAGAAAGTGCAAATCTTATTATAAAAGTACCTTTAGGTTTCAAAACAGGGACTAATGAAGAGGACCATTTGTATCTTGAAAGCTTAAACAACAAAACAAGACCTCTACAAATCACAGCTGCTAAGTCTTTTATAATCTTATGCCTTTAAAACTAACCATTATCAAGATTTTTGTGAGGTCTGACTCATGAGTCTTGACTGTTTGTGATTGGCCAGTACTGAGTAACAGATGGATGATTCAGATTGTATTTAATTATCTGTGAATTCAGAACTGTAATAAAATGAAATTAATTCCATGAAAGTACATAAATTAACTACAAAATGTGAACATGTTGTAACTACATAGAGAAAAATATATCAGGATAAGGAAAATTGCCTTCAGAAACTGTAATTAATATTTTACAGAATCCTTACAGCAAAACCATTATGTATCCTTTCACCATAATTTTGAGGTCAAGCCAGTTAAAATCCCTTTCTGCTTTGCATTCCAAATAAATAGAATTGGCATTTTGAGGCAAATAGAAAAGCCAAACTATCAGGTGTCATATTTTGTAATAAATATTAAATGTGATGAGATAGAGAACAGGTGGCAACTTATGTTTAAAATGAAATGTTTCTCTTTTTTGGTATTCATGTTCTTCTTAACAAATTATGACTGCAGCTGAGTAAATAGTTCATAGTAAATAATTTATCCACAGGCAGCTTCTGAATCAGCCTGCTGGGTATGTGGAAATAGATTAGGCTTAGTTCTGATGCTTTTGTTTGGGAGTTGATTTGTCTTCACAGTCTGACTAATACACTGGCTCACTGATAATAGTTCTTAAAACTCAGAACTGGAGCTCTTGTGTTGAGTTACAAGTATCTAGATACATCAAGAATTATTTCAATGTCAAAATCAGAAGAGATCAAACTATAACTTAAAACTACTGTGTACAGTAATTGAAAATGTAGCTACCAAGAACCCAACCATTACAGTTCTTACACTTGTCAGTAATGCTGTTATTGCAAATAGGCCTGCTTTTTAAAATTACTTATAACAAACATATAAATGTTTGATTATAGCTTGAAAATGTTTTGTTTTTCTCATGAGTCTATCTGTAAGTGGATATTCAACTACTAATACAAATTGCTCCCTCTGATGATGTAGAGAAAGCAGGACCATAAGTATAGCACTTTTTGACGAGGCTCTCAAGTTGAGTCATGCCAGAGATGAAAGGTGCAATTGGTGTGATATGTCTCTCTGTGCACAATTTTAGCAAATCTGGCTCATTATCTCCTCAAACCCTGTGCAACTCTTGCACCATTTCTTTGCCCTAGATTCCTCCTCAGAAATGAGGCCTATTGGGACATTCATACCCCATTTCCAAGGTCTCTTTTTAAGAGCTTATGGAGTACAGAGTGTCAGCTCTGCAATGAAACGTGGCTACCACAGCCAAGTGTAACACATTGATAATCCCTTCACCCTTTCACCAGTGGAACAGCTGATAAAAATAAGGCCTTGTTCTTTGTAAATGGCATTGATTACTTCTGCTGTGCTGAAAATGAACCCACTCCAACAGTTTTGTGTAAGAGACAGCATGTTATTTCAGGTTCTTATTTAAAACATTACATTATTTCTATTCAGAAAAAAACCCACCTATTCCTTAGAGAGGTAGGTGCTTATATCTGGTTTGCTACTGAAGAACAGCCCCCATTATTTGTCCTTTTTTTAAATAGGACACCTTATCAGCCTGACCAAAAGTTTATTTAAAGATCTCCTGCCTGCCTGTTTGCTCAGATTCTGTTTCCAGGTAGCTACTGATTGCTGCTCACTTGCATGAATTTCCTCTTTCTCCCCTAACTCACAAGACACCAGACCTCTTCTAAGATGAAATTTTAATAAATTATTCAGACCATTAATGTCAAAAGCAGAGTTGCACCACAGCCTTTCAGCAATTAGCCAAGAGGTGTTTTGTGATGGGATATGCTCCATTCTCCAGCCTGCTGAGGGTGCTGTGTATTCAACTAATCCATGCTGAATTTTGTCTTTGCAGGTATTTAGGGTGGGGGTGGCAGAAAGAGTTGGCAGAGACTTGCCAGGAGGCCTGGGAAAATTTAAAAAAAAAAAATCTGGCAAGAATTGGAGATCATGGAAACTGAGGACAAAAGAAAGAGATAAGACTTTTTGATTCAGTGGTAATGAGAGAATAACTCTTTCTACTTAATTAATTACTTACCTCAGTAACATCATGTCCTTTTTTTTTTCTGTAGGATTTTAATACAAGAACATGAAGACCACATTCTACCTAAGTTTGCTGCTGGCTGGGTTTCACACTGCTGCCCACAGTCAGCTCCCACCCAGTGACCACAATGGACATGACCCAAATGACCCTAAACACCACATACATCATGGAGGTGAAGCGATGGCTTGCCTCAGACTTGTGCCAAACAATGCTGACTTTGCATTCCAGTTTTTTAGGGAGGTTGCACAGGAGGCACCAAATAAGAACATTTTCTTCTCTCCTGTGAGCATCTCCACTGCCTTTGCAATGCTGGCCCTTGGGGCTAGATCAGCCACAAAGTCTCAGATCCTGGAAGGACTCGCCTTCAACCTTACAGAGATTCAGGAGAAGGAGATACATGAAGGCTTCCACAACCTAATCCACATGCTGAACCATCCTGAGGGTGGAGTCCAGCTCAACATGGGGAACGCCATCTTTGTAACAGAGAAGCTGAAACTCCTAAAAAAGTTTTCAGATGATGCCAAGGCTCTGTATCAGCTGGATGCCTTTACAACTGACTTTACCAAACCCACAGAAGCTGAAAAGCAGATCAATGATTATATAGAGAAGAAAACACATGGGAAAATTGCTAATTTGGTCAAGGACATGGACCCACAAACTGTAATGCTTCTGGCTAGCTTTGTTTTCTTTAAAGGTAAGTCTCCTCTAGGGTTCACATTCTCCCTATTCATTCTTATCAACAACCCTAATATCACCTACCTCAACTAAAAACTGGTCTGGGGAAAATTTCCAATGCTCCTTGCTGAAGGCCAGAAGATCCCCTAATGGCACAGTGGAGGTGGTGGAGGGGTAACAGGAGGCAGGTAATGGGCAGGCAGGAGGCCACACAGTCTTGTTTCTCTCTGTGACAGCTCCAGGAGCTCTGTTCCAAGCCACAGCCTTCCAAGCTGGGTTTAACTGTAACTCCAATTGTCCCATATTCTTCTCATTTTCAGTGAAGGCACTGAGACTTATGTAGGACCTCATGCCTCTTTTTAAATTATCATGATTCAATAGCCTAATTTACTACATACTCCTTTTTTTCTCCCTATCAGAGTCCTTTATACAGGCACACTAACATTTATATATGGGAGAAGCTAGTGACGAATGGGGGGAACATTTTAAGGAACAAAGCAGAAACAATGTGCATTTCTGATGTGGGTTAGATGTGCCCTTAAGCCCGACATAACACCAGTCAGATATGAGATCCTACAATATTTTATCTACAAATATGATTAAAGTCAGTAGAAATTATTGCATGCAGTATATGAGTACACAGATGATATTTACAGAAAGCCCACATAGATCTCCTGAACAGAAAAGCTGTGGTAGGTACAAAAAACCCATCTAATTATTTCATTACTGGCATCTGAATTATAAATTGAAAGTGGAATACAATGCACTTTTTTGAACAGGTAAAAGATCCTTGCATTACTGTGATACACATTCTAAAGTGTCACATTTGAAAATTCAGTATTTAATGCATGGAGAAACAGGTAAATATTACTAGCTATAAAAAACTTAGACTATGATGAGATAAAACATTGGATATTCAGTTAAATTCTCCTTCTCTGTATCAGGCAGCTGGGAAAAGCCTTTCAAACCAGAGCATACTGAAGACAGGGAGTTCTTTGTGGATGCTGAAACAACTGTGAAAGTCCCCATGATGTACCAGATGGGCAGATTTGACTTCTACTTTGATGAGGAGCTGTCATGCACTGTGGTACGGCTGCATTATAATGGCAGTGCTACTGCATTTCTGGTTCTGCCTGCAAAAGGGGAAATGAAGAGTTTAGAGCAAACTCTGGACAAGGAAACCATCCAGAAATGGTCAGACCATCTCTTCCAGAGGTAATCTTCTGCCAGTCAGCTGCAGTGGCACCTAATTTGTAGTATTTCTTCTTTTTGGGGAATGCAAACACTGTGATTGTGGTGATTCTGGGAACTGAGTGGGTTATTTTTGGCTCATATGCCCTAGTTGTAAAAATCTTGCATCTGGTTGGTATTTAACTATTCTTTTGTTGGTGGATGAGTGACTTGCTGCTCTCCCAACCAAAGCAGAGACCATCCTATTCCTACCTAAGGAATAGCAAGCCTAGACTAGTGTTTCTAAAATACTCCATGGACTGAAAGGAATGGTTGCAATTTTAAGTCAAATCTTCTATACTGAGATTTCAGCTAGTGTGTTTTTCCTCTCTTATGTCACTGATACACTGTGACTCAGGCATAAGTATGAACCTTAAATAAACCATAACTTACACAGTTTGTAGTAGTGCTTACAGGCATGATATGTCCTACACAATTATCTTGCAGCATTCAGTTGTTGTTAGAACAGGCAAGTGATTAATTGTGGATGTCCTGATTTTCTGGCATTTTGTTTTGAAACTATAAATATCTAATGAGTTTCTGTTAGCTTCAACCATTGACACCAATATCAGCTAATGCATTTTACAACCTTGTTTGTCTGGGAGAGATCTTAGCAACAGTAGATGAGTAATATCAAGTTAATATATGCTTAATTTACCAAGCTCTGCCCTAATTCACAATTAATAAGGCTGTGCAGTTCACACCCATCTATCTCAGTGCATCATCACAGAAATACCAGCACAGTTAGTAAAAACATAATGGATAGCAAACTGAATATGAGCTAATAATGTGATACCTCAAATATCAAAATTAGAATGTATCATTCTCAGCTGCAATATCAGAAAAACCCTTATCTAAATGAATTTGTCATGCAAGATCATTGAGGATGAATATAGGAATAAGTTCTCCATGGGAGAAACTGTGAGAACCAAATGGCAATTTCTGTTTTACTGTTTTGTTGCAAAGCAGCAAAAGACTTGAGCTACCTAAAGGGTAATCACTGCTGTGGGTGACTGAGGACCCCTGGACAGGGTGTGAAAAGAAACCCAAGATAAATCATACTGAGCAGGAGCTGCCTGCAGACAGCTCACACTCAAAGGCAAACTTGATCATGGCCAGCCCACAGGAGGAAGACAATTAGAGGACATGGAATCCAAATGTGCAGGCAGCAGACCTTTCCCTGGGGCCATGCCAAATGCCCCAGTTATGCCAAAAATACTGATTTGATTTGAAATGCTGGGATTTGCCACACTTCTCCCCAGGCAGACTTTGTCAGGACTTCTCTTCAGCTGTCCACCTTCCTGAGCATCATGGGCTATCCTTTGTCTCTGCCTGTAAAGAGGGGCTCTTGCTACTGTTCTACTTGACAGAGTGCTCTCAGATTTCCTGAAAAAAACACCAGATAAATACTATTATGATTGCTATTTTTATTATTAAGTATGATATTGCTTCTATCACCATGAGAAGCACCAGCAATTGAATTGGTGCTCACTGTACATTCAGGGTCCAAACCCCTGGGATTTGATGCTCATGGGAATTAAACAGATTTCTCACTATCCTTTATATTGCTGAGAAATCCTTCTCACCACACTTTGTGTTTCTCCTCTATCTAACAGATCTATGAACTTGTATTTCCCCAAATTTTCTATTTCTGGGAGCTATGAAATAAGTAACACCCTTAGGAAGATGGGAATTGTGGATGTGTTCACCAACCAGGCAGATCTCTCTGGCATCACTGGCACCCCAGATCTGAAGGTTTCCAAAGTAAGTATTTTCCATTCATGCAGGAAAATCCATAAGTGGTAGTAGCATCCAGCAACACCAGGTATCTACAGCTCCCAGCTTCCCACCTTGCCTGCAGCTGGGTCACCCAGGCCTCAGCCTGCAAGCTTAGAAAAGGAGATTGGCTCTTGGTGACACTGGAGATCAGATTGGATTCCTGCATGTCTGTTTTTTACCAAGAATAGTATTGGCCAAAATTTTTTGGGCAGTATCTGAAACATGGGAGGAGCATCAACCCCTGACTCCTCAAGGAAAACCACTAATGCTCCCAGGCACAGCACAACCTGTCCTTCTCACCCTGGAGACCCAGTTTTGGAGGCACAGACACAGAATTACAGGTGGAGCCTCTATCCTTCATCCAGTACTTTGGACTTTTTTTAGGAGATCTCCATAGCTCCATTCTAACCCTCATTTAAGCAGCCATGACCACAACAATAGAGCTCTTCTGCCTCTACTCAGTTCTCAATGGATCCCCCAAAGCAAGGCTGCTTTAAAAGGACTCTGATTAATTTCTCAAGAGGCTGTTGACTGCCCAGAGTGACTCTATTTTCCTTTTTCCTAGGTTGTCCACAAGGCTTCTCTGGATGTTGATGAGAAAGGCACTGAGGCAGCAGCAGCAACTGCTGTTGAAATAATGCCAATGTCTCTTCCTCCAATCATTGAATTCAGCCATCCCTTCCTCATGCTGATTTTTGACAGAGATACAAACAGTACACTCTTCATAGGAAAAATAGTTAACCCAACTAGTTGAAGTGACATGTGAATTTTGTTTGCTACTACTAATTAAAGATGTGAAAATGCATTACATGATTTATTTCCATTTGTACCAGATCATATATGGTTCTTTGTTAGTAACAGTTTTTATTTTATGTCATCATCAAAAACTGTTGGTATTGACACTTGCTGAAGAGGAAGGAAGAAATTGTTTTAAATTCAGCTAGAAAATAATGCCTTTTTTACCTGACTGAAAGACCTAAGCTTTGCCAGCATTTGGAAAGAAATGTTTATATTATAATGGAAGACTCCTGCTTAATACGAGGTAGTCACAGGTAAAATTATGAACATCCTTGCAAACAAAGCAGAAGTGGTTGCAATTTACCATAAGTAAATCTGAGATGGGAAAAGTTGGATCAACATTGCAGGGTCACAGAAAGCTGAAGCTCCTAATAGATTCAGCACTGGGAATGTGAAAAGCGGCCTTCAACAGCCTTCTGTACCAGAAACCTTTTATCTTTCTTAGTATCAATCTAGCAGCAAATCTTCCTGAGTTTCTTGCAGCTTACAAGAGAGCAGGAGGATCAAATCTGCCTTGAATCTGATTTTCACCACATGTTACCAATTTGACAGATTTAGATGGAGTTACTGGCTCCTCACATATGTATCCATCAGTGGTGAGGAGGAGGGTGTAGCTGAATGGGAAGGTGAGGTATTTGGATGGCAATTACTCAAGCATACTGTCGGCAGAGATTTGTGGAAAACCTAAAAGGAGACTCTGGAAAATTAGAGATCTTTCAAATGCTTTTGTCCTTTAACAGACAAAGATGTAAGTCAGGAGCATGCAATAAGCAAATCATCTGACCCAGGTGGGGGTGCCAGGCACGTAGGTAGAACATAGGGCAGCTTGAAGGCTGGCTGGAAACCACCTTCAATGGACTTGCCTTGGCACCTGGTATCAGAGGGAGTACAATTGGCTCTGTTTTCCCTAAAGTTGTGGGGTTTGGGAAGAAATGAAATGGTGTCATGTCATTGCCAATGATGCTGGGAGCAGTCAAAGGTTTGGGAAGCCAACACAACTTCAGCAAGTTCTTGTGTGCTTGCTGTGAAATTAAGAGCAAGTGTGATTTTATTAGTGTGGTGCAAAGCATTGTCTCCCCTGTTGCAGTCTAAAGGAAAGCTCCCTTTCTGCTCTGTGTTTCTAGTAAATACCCTCTGTTAACAGGATGCTTGAAGGTGTTTTTTGACTAAATATAGTCTCAGTATAGGTGAACATACGTATCAACAACTCACAGTATTGAAGGCAGGACTCACAGTGACAGAAATCCAGGTACTTTTCCAGCACATTCCTGCATGCTCCTCTATCTGTTTGGGTGCCTTTGTAGCCCACTGCCCAAGCAGCAGTAATTAATGAGACCTCTTAAATACAGCTGGAGGGTGCAGCCCCAGTGGGGTCAGTTTCAGCTGTTCTCACTCCTGCTAAACAACGGGCATCCAGTAAAGCCACAGTAAAACCTTTGGGGGGTAGAGAGCTCAGAGGCAAGATCCGTACTTATGAATTTAATTCCCTAGAGTTGCAGTTAAAAAATGGAAATAATTGATTTCAGTAGGGTGATTCTCAGTTGACATCAAGAAGTGTGGAAGAAGCAGAGGCCACAGATGAATTAAATATTCCTTGCCTTGTAAACCACTTTGAACTGGATGAAGACATAAACATAGAAATACAGCATAGTAGGAGGAAAGTTGTCCCCATGTGGTTCTGGGAGAAAATTGAAGAGAATTTCTCACCTAAGCTCAATCAGCTTTTGCAGGCTGTTAATCCTTATTTTTGGAAGGAGATTCCTACTTCTTCTACTGTTAGTGCCTTGGTGCCCTGACAGACGTGCCCCCTTGGCAAGCAGGATGCTGGAATTGCGTTTCCCTCACGTATTCCAGGGAGCAGAGCCCGCTGGGCAGCAGGAGAGAGGCACAGGAGCAGCTGCGCTGCTGCCAAGAGCCGGCACTTCTCAGTTTGTGCTTCTCCTCTCACTGCATCTCCTTCTTACCCGATCTCTGCGTGTCTGTAAATGCGTGGGGAGGTTACGGGGACACCGAGCGGTGCCAGCCGTGGGAGGACAAGGTGGCAGCGGTGCGGAGGGGCCTGCCGCTCCCACAGGGGATTTCCTGTCCATCAGTCGGCGTCCAGGAGCTGTTTGCTAGACTTGCTTCATCAGGCAATAGCTCCTGCTGTACTGACATCATGCTGTGATTTTCCACTGCGGGATTTGCCAGAGACAGTGCTGAGAAGAGGCAGGCACCACACTTAGCACAAAAGAGCAGCAGACAGCTTGCTCCCTGCCTACAGCCGTACTGTGCTGCTGGTTATGTGGCCCCTTCTCATCTCTGCCCCCATCCGCCAAGTCCTACTCTCTTAATCCTGCTCTCGTCGCTGCAAGCAACAAAACAGGCTTTCCTCATTATTCTCCCTCTTCCCATTTCCTCTCCGGACGGGCTCCTTTTCGCAGCCTCCCACTCTCCCTCCTGCAGGCTAACATTTCGTCCCTCCCACTCGCCGGCGCCGTTTGTTCACGCAGGAGGGGAATGCTGCCGCCTCAGCTGTGGCGGCGGCCCCGCCAGCAGGCCCTCCTCCTCTCTCCTGCCCAAAAAATGGAGGGCAGGAGGAAACAGGGTCCTCTGCCTTCCACAAAACACCTCCAGGGCACTAGGAAGGCAGGGCTTCAGGTCACTAGGCTATTGCCATTTGCTGCGATGGGCAGTGTGGGAATGTAAATGAGCCACAGACACATCTCAGGGACAATTAGCGACCAGGTTCATTAGCCATTGAAACAGCTGATACAGCTATAGAGTGCAGGGATGGAACTGACGGCTCTGCTTGTGGTCATCCCAGGTTTGGGTGGCCTGCCTGTCGCTGGGCCGGGTGCCAGCCCTGTTTCTGTGACTGCACCCGGCAATGCCATGGGCAGCAGCCTCCAGGTGGTCCCAATGGCCCATCCCGAGGCTGCCACAGCCTCCTGGGCTCACACACTGCTTGTTGAAGCAGGCACTGAGGGATTTGCTCTTCCCTCACCATCACTGAGGCTGTATCTCCAGGAAGGGAGCCAAAAATCCCCTCACTTCCCACCCCACACCGTTCAGCCTCCCTCCAAAGAGGAGTCAAGGGAAAGACGCCCTATTCATGGTTCAGGCAGGTGTGAGCTGATAGCTCTTGCTCAGCAGGAGGAAAGACACAGGTCAGCAAAACCTCTAACTTTGCAAATACAGCAGTGTTGTTGTTTCTTGTAGCCCAGTGGCCTCCTTTTTGTTAAACTAACAGTACAGGCCTTGATTCTTTGCACTTGCCAGGCTGTGCTTGGACCTGGCTGGCTGTGCTTGGACCTGCCCAGGCCTGCCTGGGGTTGTGTTTTAGCTACTTTTTGTGTAACAGTAACTATGCAGCAATTAGGTGCTATAACCCACTTTGTTTAAATTTTCCCTTAGCTTTGGATGATTGTATACAGATATTTGTGTAACCGGGAGATATTAAGAACAAGGAGTTCTGCATGAATGAAGTGCCTGTGGCCCTAGAATGAAAAATGAAGGTATGCAGACATGGTAGAATGATAGCAGGGGACTGGAGAGTACAAGCAGAGGATGATGCTGGACACCACAGAGCTGAAATAATCTTGCCAGTGGTCAGTCACTGGTCATCAAAGCTTTACAGACCTGGGAGCTGGGTGAAAACAGTTTGGGGCTGTTTACCTAGGAATAACTAGGAACTATGAGAACAGAGATTGAGTACGCAGTGTATGTGAAACACAGCCCAGGTACTGTATCCAAGAGTACTGTGGACTTGTGAAACATTGAAGAAAATCAAGGGGAAGAACAGGTGAGCAAATGTGTAACAGTGATCCCAAGCAGACCCCAGAGCACAGAGGTTACATTTGCCCCTTGTACTCCTGCTGGCAAGGATGTAGCCTTCCCTTTCCTGAGGTTGATGGTAGGTGAAAAACTGATGTTTTGGAAAGAAAGCATCCCCCCCAAAACACCCCTTTGTAGTCAGTCGGTGAGCTCTGCCAAGTGCTTCAAACCTTGTGGATCAATGTTGGACAAAAGGCAAAAGTTGGTGCAATAGGGGGAAGAGGAATCAGAGGCAAGGAGCCAGCCCTGGGTGGCAGTCCCGATCCTCTCCCAAAGACCCTCCCCTGGCCTGCCCTCCCACCAAGCCTGCTGCTGAGTGTGGGGCCACAGGATGCTCAGCTCTTGCCCACAGCTGGGCTGCAAGACCGTGAGGAGGGCTGGCAGAGGGGCAAGAGGGCAAGGCCCCAGGCAAGGAGCTGTGATCTGCAGCCCAAGGACCTCCTGGGTGACCACTCTGGGGCTAACAGGCACAGAGCTCTGTTGAGGAGATCTGTCCCACAGACAGAATTTCACACTGCTTTCTTTGTTAGTCCAGAAACTGAAGAGAGCAGTACAACAGGCATCAGCAGGACTCCTTTTTCTGTGCCTCCTTATCTTATCTATTATGCTGATACTCTGTTATTCAGTCACTAGATGTTTAGCAACTTGACCAAAGCACTTTTTTTTTTCCCCTGGATAGCTAATGATGTCATCATTATTTATTCTGTCTTATCTTCAGGAGCTGAGCTAGTCAGCTACAGATTACTGGAAGGCATGAGCATGACTCTACTCATTGACAAAGGAGAGGAGCTCACTAAAAAGAGGTGAAATCAAAGCTTAAAACTCTAGTTTGTTGCTTTCTTCATGGTTACAGAGAAAAACTATTTTAAAACAAATCTTCACATCTGTAAATGACTGTCAGTCCTGTGACAGCAACAGACAAGCTTCTGTGGCAAAACCCCTGTGTGCTCATTCACATGTGTCAGAGCTCCCAGCCTCTGACCAGAACTGAAACATCCAGTGTTGTTGGTGTTGGGGCACTGAAAACAGCCAGCATTTTTAAGGGCACCTTGTTGCAGGCCACATGTGAATGTGGTTGTGCAGGTTATTGGTTGTAGGAGACAAGCATGAGAGTCTGGTTTTGTTTGTCATCGCTCCCTA